AATAGCTAGAATGATATAGCAAGTTTTAACAAACAGATTGCAAATATACTCACCGTCAATAGAAACGCAACACCCTAATTTTAGGGTGAAAATTATATACCGGTTATAACTATGTAACAAAAAAGTTAGGACATCTTATACTTTGCCAAATCAGTTATTTAACGGTTGAATGAATTTCTTTCCATTACCGGAAGTTGCTTTTTAGCCCTCTTAACAGAAATCTCACTTTTGCATTTTTAATAAAAAATTTAACAATAGTTTAGGTTTTCAAGGTTTTGTAGCTGTTAATCATAAGTATTGTACTAAAAGTCCCAGGAAAAATCCTTCTTTCTTTACCAGATGTGATGCCTAAATTTCCTCGAAATGACTGATATCAAGAAGGGGGGATGTTTTAAGAGTTATGTGTTATATTGAAAAGTTTAATGATAACATTAAAAATGAATATATTTAGATAAAAAGTAAATTTACAAAAAATAATGCTTCATTTAAACATTAAATGTTATTTTTAGACCCTAGAAAGAAACAAATTCCCGATAACTCTTAAAACATCCCCCCTTCTGATCATTTAATTAAAACGTGCTAGTCCGCCAGATACAACAAATGCAGCCCGATTTCTACCATGCCTTAGGTTTATCAATGTCTTAATCTGACCGAAATTAATATTCTTGGGTATTTTTAAATGCATGTTTTTCAGATACTGTGGTCGAACTTTCTCTAACTTGACGTAGTGTAGCAACTCTTGGACTTCCGGTCAAGAAACTGCCATTTTATTATTGAAACACATGAGCCTGATGAGTCGTTATTTAGTGTACATTTGCATCTGCAGCTCTTTTTTTCTTTATTTTGAGAATTTCCAGAATTAGCGATGGAAATCAGTCATTTTCAGGAAATATAGGTATCTCATCCGGTAAAGAAAGAAGGATTTTTCCTGGGACTTTTAGTACAATACTTATGATTAACAGCTACAAAACCTTGAAAACCCAAAATATTGTTAAAAATTTTATTAAAAATGCAAAATTGTGATTTCTGATAAGAGGGCTAAAAAGCAACTTCCGTTAATGGAAAGAAATTTATTCAACCGTTAAATAACTGCTTTGGCAAAGTAAAAGATGTCTTAACTTTTTTGTTACATAGTTATAACCCGTATATAATCTTCACCCTACAATTAAAGTGTTGCGTTTCTATTGACGGTGAGTATATATTACGGTTTGGACTATATTTTTTTCATTACAAGATTGAGGAAATTCGAAATATGACATCTTTGTTAAAAACAAAACACCGTCCCATCTTTATATGAAGAACGTAAAACGAATAGCCTACTTACTTTTTTCTTTCTCTACCTCTAAATAAGTATATAGTAGCGTATTATTTCATGAAATTAATTAAAATACATCAAATTGGAGTTGATATCCCATCCTTCTTTTTTTCTCTCGAAAATAATAATTGAAGAATAATGTCGGTCAGAAATAAAATATCCGAATTATCCAGGGAGGTTACTGTGAAATTCCTGTCATTCTTTCTTGCTTGATACCTTTTCAGCTGCTAAATAGCTAACAGTACTATAGTAAAAAGAATTTATTTAATTTTTCCCCTACAAAACAGCAAAATCAACTTTGAAAAAGTCGCGTGGACTTTTCTTCTAGGCTAAATTTCAAGAAATTTAGATAGAGCCTGGTCCCCCCACCTTTTTTCCAAACATCACTTTTAACTTAGTATTGAAAATGTTCATTGAAAGGACCCCCCCCCCACTTTTTGTAAGAGAAAGGGTCAAATAAGGGTAATGTAGTATATTAGGAAGATAATTTTAATTTTATTTTAAAACTTGCATCTTGCAATGATAGCAGCCTATTTGTTCTCAATTTTTTTTCAGGTTGGTTAATTTTTTTTCTCTGGTTGCCCCCTTTAAAAACGATGCTATGTCACTGAATATTGTAATGTAAACGGATTTGGTATATAGTTTGAATGTCCTGCTGTCTCTCTGATTATTTTTATATTTGGCAAGAACTTTAACCTTGCCCATAACTTTTGATTTAGTGGAGCTACACCTCCTCTCCAAGGCTTTGAGCCAGAATTTTTCTTAGATATAATGGATAGGATTTTGAAGGTTTCTGATGCATTCCAGAATCATTTCTTGAATTTAACAATGTTTAATGCGACATTTTCAATTTTTATTAAGACTTAGGATGAGGTTGTGCGCCAGATTTAGAACACTGTTATATTTTGATGTTGAACATAGAAAAAAAAAAATTATATAGAGCTAAGAATTGCATATTTTGATATTTTTTATAACTCTAGAAAGAAAAAGAATTAAGAGGGAATGTTACTGACAAATAGGCTGCTTATTTTCAGGGAAGATATACAAGTTAAACTAAAAGTTTATTTTTTCTATATATATATATGGCACTCCACGTACTCTGAGGACATTTTTTTTTCAAGGATGAGGTTGTGCGCCAGATTTAGAACACTGTTATATTTTGATGTTGAACATAGAAAAAAAAACTAATTGTATAGAGCGAAGAATTGCATTTTATGGTATTTTTATAACTCTAGAAAGAAAAAGAAATAAGGGGGAATGTTACTGACAAATAGGCTGCTTATTTTCAGGGAAGATATACAAGTTAAACTAAAAGTTTATTTTTTCTATATATATATATATGGCACTCCACGTACTCTGAAGACATTTTTTTTTTTCAAGATTCATAACTTCGACGAACAATTTTAAATATTGTCAAACCTAATAATCATTAAATACATTTCTTTAATTTCTTCAAAAAAAAAGAAGCTTAAATTTTTTTTTTCATATATACATGACTGTATATTCCTATAACCAAAACCTTTGGAACTGTGGAATGGGGGTATATTGGATGATATTCTCATCACAAAAGAGGACGCTTGTCCGAAATATCTGACGTTTTCCAGACCTTTTTTTTTTTTTTCTTAACCTCCAAAATCGTAAAAAAAAGCCTGGAAACGTCAGATATTTCGGACTAGTGAGGACACATGCTCCCCCTCCTTAACTCCCCAGAAACTAAAATCCTTTTAACATTAGTTAAATTTGTAAGGGTGTTTCTTTTTTCACGAAACTAGATATTTTTTTACTTAATCTTGGAATATTGAATTTAAAAGAAAGAATAAAATTAAGATAGCTCCTTAAATTATTAATTGTTATAATTGCCTAGAAAGAAAAAAACACGATCTATTGAATGTTGATTTATAAAATTAATTAAAATGTTAGGAAAATCAGGGAATAGTGTATACAAACATCACCTTTTTCGTATAATTTAAATGAGTTTATATTCATGTTAAATGAAGAAAAAATTCGAACTATACAAATCGTACAGAAACTAATGTACCAAAGTCACAGGCATTTGTTTTGATAATAAATTTTTAACCCATAGTAAAATAATAACACTTATTATACTATGGGTTTTTATTACCGAAACACATGCCTGTGACCAAAGTTATTGACTTATATATTATATGTTGTCTATATATTTTTCGTTCTATTTCAACAAGTTTACCCAGTGTCTATTGATAAAGAAACATAATGATCAAAATAAATATGGGAGATACATTTAATATTTCCATTTAATTCCACCTAAGCTTAAACCACACAGCCCACGTGGTGGAAGTTAAAGTTTTAAATTGTGTATTAGAAACACGCTGGTCACCAATAACACTCCTAGTATTGGCTGGCCCACTGATCTCCTGGGAAGATTATTCTCATAGTTGTCTGACTTTTATACAGGTAAGTTGTTTAATTAATTATTCCTGCACCACTACATAAAAGGCATTGATTTGTGTACATAGGATATATTTCCCCAATTGTATGCACACCAATGGTAAGATTCATACATAGCCAAGATTTATAAAACAAGTCGAGCGTGCTATGCCATGGTGGGATGGTGGGGGACTTTAAAAAATTGGGTAAATGTTTTGTAAAATTTATCAAATTAATTGTAATGATAATAATTAACTGTCTTCTCTATTGAATCAATCCTTGGACCATTATCGGAATGTCTGCATGCTACATGTAGACTTTGAATTTTGAATTTGAAAATATTGTATGCAAGCAATACTAACTTAAAAGAAGTATAATTATGTAAATATTTCATTTATAAATATTTATTCTCTGCTTTACATCCTATATTTTGTAAATATGTTATCTGATAAGTCATATGACTTAAGGAATATATAAACAAACAATAAACAAAGAAGCTGACGTTTCAAGTTTAATTACAGTGTAATGATTTTTAATGTTTGAATGAACCTAAATAATTAAGTAGCTAAATATATATGTCATATATAGTCTCATCTTTTGTATATTAATTTTAATTAATGTTTTTTATTATGGTAGTGGTTACCACTGACACTCGATTTCCTTAAACATTTAAGAAAATAATCAACATAAGCATATACAGTATGTATACACTTCCAGAGTTCCATTTAAATGTCCAATTCATAAAAGAAACGTTAAGTTCACCAATAACACAATAGGGATATTAAATACTTTCATGCATGATATTAACAAGTAACATATTGGTAGGTATTTAATAATGCAACAAGAAAAGCAAACGTGTAAGTAATGCTATATACAGGTATATTCATTCAGCCAACAGGTAAGTGAATTCGTTTTTGCCGGTGCCATTTTTTTAGTTCCTTCTAGCGCCTCTTCTAAATGCCACTCTCTAAACCCACCTACCCTACTTCTTTAAAAAGTGAACGGTCAATTGAAAAAATAAAACGAGGAAAAGTTCATTCTGCCAAGAAAATTTAAAATATTGTCTTTCTGACATATTTTCTATTTATCAATAAAAATATACATTATGAATGTTTTGAACTGCATTTGAAATGCATAATTGTTAATTTAGTATGATGTTTTTCTGAAAAAAACATGTATAAGTTAATTATTTACTTTTCATTTTCAGAGAAAACATATCAGTTAAAAGAAACCTTTATCAGCTTATAATCCCCTGTCGTAGTGGTCACGTGACGTCACAATGCCACGGTGCGTGTGCGGCACGTACATTTCTACCGACTCCGAGACAGAAGAAGAGGAAGACGAATGGGAGGACTCTTGTCTGAAGGAATGGAAGGAGGAGAACAAAAAGTTCGTACCAACCAAAGCCAGTGAGCTGGTAGAGTCCAAATTACACCTCGCTAGAATTTGTATTGTGGGAGAAACAGGATGTGGAAAAACTGCAATTGCAAAAAACATTGCCTTCAAATATGCGGCACAGAAATGGGATATTGTCGATGTTAAAAATATTAATAACATTAAGAATGCAAATATTTCTTCAAAATCCGTTCTCTTTATAGTTAATGATCCCATTGGGAAAAGCGATATCGATGAAAAATTGTTCAGATTGTGGCATTTACAAAAGGAAATATTGGATGACTATTGTAAGAAAAATAAAGATGGGGAAACAAAAGGAAAGCTTCCCAAAGTCATTGTCACTTGCAGGTCCAATCTTCTCAAAAACGACAGAGAATTCATAATGAGTGGATTCACCATTATAAATCTGGACGAAGATGAAGTAAGATTAACCAAACAAGAAAAAACGGACATTCTAAAGAGACATATAGATTGTTCTGAACTTGAGCATAAGGAACTTAATCAGCTTCTTTTGGTTGAGAAATCATTTCCTTTACTATCCAGTATAGTTTCTACCAGTAAAAACTTACAAGAAAATATACTCAATTTTTTTAGCCAACCTTTCGAACAACTGAAAAGAGAAATTCTATTATTGAAAGAAAATTCCAAAGAAAAATATTTATGTTTACTTTTATTGATTTTGCTGGGAAATAGGCTATCAAAGCATAGTTTTCACGACGAAGACAGGGAATCCCTGGAAGATGAAGAAGATAATGATGAAGACAAAAATGATAAAGACGATGACAATGATAAAGACGACGAGGATGAAGATGATGAGGATGAAACCGACGATGATGAAGACGATGATGATGAAGATGATGATGACGACGATGAAGATGATGATGACGACGATGAAAATGTTTACACGATTAACGACGATAAGATGCTTAATGATCTGTTTGAAACACTTAAACTCAGTAAAAGCATATCTCGGATAGCCCTCATGGATTGTTTAAAGTCTCTCAGGGGTCAGTATTTTCTACGACGTATACGCAGAATTTTCCAAATAACAAATGACTCTTTTCTGCTTGCCTTAACAAATATATTCTGTACTGATGTACCAGAGCAATTTCTTAAATATTGCTGCAGTAGTTTCTTCAGAACATCGACCACGTGTTCCGTTCCAGAAAATCAAATCTTTCCAAAGATTCAACTAGTGGACCGTTTTGTTGATCCTTTTTTGGACAGAATCGAGGATGACATTAAGAATGGCACGTACTTGGATGTATTTCTGTGTCCTTGGATACGTGATGATAGAGTTTTGACAAAGCTTCTGATGCGCCTGAAGACTAAACCTTATGAGGAAATGGAAAAGTTAACTTTATACTCAAAACTTGATCAAGACAATGATCTACAGATTCTGAAACCATGGTTACGGAAGAACTTACAGGGGTATTCTAGACTTGACTTAATCCCTCTGTGCCATGAAATATCTCCAATCATCCTTATGCTTGTATTAAACATTGACAAATTATTTTCTGCAATTTTTTCCTTAGTAAAGGAAAATCAGAGTAGTTCTGAATATTTTAGGAATGCCCCGTTGATGAGCGCCTGTTCTGTCAATGGGCGAAAGGAATTCGCTGAACAAGTTTTAGAAGTAACAGACTTCAAAAATGCGTGCTGGAGTAGACAGGAGAATATATTTTCTATTCATATAGCTGCAAATTTTCTTAACGTTGCCATTTTATCACTTATTCTAAATGAAGAATGTGATGTGAATATGCTTATGCAGAACAACGAATCTCCCCTCTTCTTAGCGGCAGCGGCAGGAAAATACAATCTTCAAAATATCTCTTGGGCACGCAACGTAAAATTCAGTGATCCTAGTAAAACCTTAGACGAAGTATTGGAGGAAAAGCGGATGCAGGCATTGATCCTTCTTGTTGGGAAAGGTGCGAATGTCAACATCCATCCTGTTGAACTTCCAACAGCTCTTGCCTTCACATGTCAGACACAAAATGTCGACATTGTTCGTTTGTTGCTCGATAATGGTGCAAATGTCAATGATACTGGCAAGAACAAAGTGTCTCCTTTACACTTTGCATCTGAGATTGGCAACTTAGAAACAGTCCAGCTACTTTTAGACAAGGGCGCAGATGTTCACATGAGGACCGAAGGAGGGTATACTCCGTTATATTTTGCATCGTTAAATGGTTATGATGCCGTGGTCGAACTTCTTCTCTCAAAAGGAGCATTTGATGAACTCAAGGAAGAGACAGGATACACACCCTTCTTTGTAGCTTGTAAACATGGCCATACAAACATTGTCAAAATGTTCCTAAAGCACGATCCCTGTGTAAATTGTACTTTAGCATCAGGTACCTCAGCAGTTTTAGTTGCTTCTAAGAATGGCCACGAAAAAATTGTCGATTCGCTTCTAAAAAATGGCGCTGATGTAAATATCGTTCAAAAAAGCACAATGATAGGCCCGTTGTTTTCTGCAGCCTCTCGTGGATATGTTCAAGTAGTAGAGCTGCTATTAAACTATGACTTGGATATTAATCTGAGGACAAAGAAAGAAGATACGCCGTTAATCGCTGCTTCAAAAAACGGTCACTTTTTAACCGTCCATTTACTGATAAAAAATAAAGCAAATGTAAATCAAGCCAATAATGTTATGATAACTCCCCTTCACATGGCTGCACAGCAAGGCCATCATGATATTGTGTCGTTACTACTGGAGAACAACGCTGATGTTGATGCATGTTCAAAAAGTGGAGCCACTCCATTAATATTTGCTTCAGGTCGTGGGTACAGGAATGTTGTTCAAGAACTTCTAAATCATGGTGCGGATGTAAATAAATCTAACAGACATGGGAATACTGCCCTTTTTGTTGCTTCAGAGCACGGTCATATTGAAATTGTAAAAATCCTTTTAGCAAAAAAAGCTGATGTTAATTTGTGTTCAAAGAATGAAAAAAGTCCATTGTTCATTGCATTGGAATTTGGTTACCATGAAATTGTTAAAGAATTGTTGTGTCATGGTAGTAATGTGAACGGTGCCGGTTCAAAAAACCCCTTATTGGCCTCTTCATATTCTGGACACGAGAAAACTGTTGCTTTACTTATTGAAAATGGGGCGGAAATCAATGTATGCGACGACGAGGGAAATTCTGCATTAATGAATGCATCAAGAAGAGGGTGGATTAATGTGGTCAAACTTTTGCTGAAGAATGATGCTGACGTCGACATCTGCGATGACGAAGACGATCAAAATGCTCTAGATATGGCGTGTTTTATGGGGCATTCTGATATTGTGAAACTATTACTTGATCATGGCATGGACATTAATAACAATGGTGATAATGAGAAATACACTCCTTTACAACAATCTTTAGAAGGAAACCGTCTCTCAACGGCTTTGCTTCTTTTGGACCGTGGTGCTGATGTAAATACTGTTGTTGACGGTTCAACTGCTCTTTTTTTGGCTTGCTCTGCCGGATTAAAAGAAGTCGTTGATATTCTTTTAGAGCGTAAAGCTGATGTCAATCCTAAAAACTCAGATGGTTCTTCTGCCAAATCCCCACTTTATGCTGCTGTAGAGGAAGGTGATTTTCAGATAGTTAAGGTTCTCTTACAGTGTGGTGCGGATGCAAACTATAGCTCAAGTAACGGTGCTGTAACTGTACTGATGAAAGCTGCACAGAAAAACAACCCCAGCATGGTCAAGCTCCTTATAGAAAATGGAGCTAATGTCAACTCGGTAGATAAATATGGTAATACAGCTCTGTATATAAGTGTGGTTGATAACTACAATGTGGAATCTCTGTCCATTTTACTTAATAACAACGCTGACGTGAATGTTCGCAATCCAGAAGGAACCACACCGTTGATGATGGCTCTGGATAAATTTGATTCATCGAAGTTCGTACAAGCACTGGTTGATCATGGTGCAGACGTCAATGCTCGTGACAAAAAAGGACAACCTATTTTACATCTGGCGGCCGGATGCTATAATGGACATAAGGGCATACCTTTTCTCTTGAAACATGGCGCTGACGTCAATGCACGTAACGAAAATGGCGAAACTGCTCTCCATGAGGCAAGCTATGTTGGTTCTTATAAATCAGTGAAAGCACTTATTGAACATGGGGCAAACGGGACCCTTCGCTCGAAAGCTGGTCTCAGTCCATTGCATATTGCCAAAAGAGGGAGACATGAACAAATTATACGGATTCTTTCTGAGAAATTTGGCGGGAGTGATTTTGATAAAGAAGTCGTACTCGCACGGAATAATCCAAGAGGACCCGCTCTACCAAGAAAGAGTGGTTCAATGAAGTTCAAAAAAACGTGGCGATAAAACAGAACAAACTGATTTAGAAATTTGTTTTTTGAGTTAAAGGTTGGGATCAATGTAACATACATCTTTTCTTTTTCTGACAATACTTAAATTGTCTTATGAAAGTTGTGGTAATAAATGTCAAATATTTACATTGAATGTGTTTATTCAATCTTATTGAAAGCAACTACACCTGTATGCTGATTTGAATGCCCTTTTGTGTGAAGTCACACATCGAACAATTTACACAGAGAAACCCGCGAATAAGAAATATTTTGATCAGGCTACTAAAGACGATAATAAAAATAGAACAAAAAAGCCAGGAAAAAAACAGATTTTGAAAGTGCTTGTAAGAACTACAGAGTTCGAAACTTTCGTTCATACTTGGATATTTTACTTGAAAAAGACACTAGTGGTAATCTAACAACCAAGCTATATGATAAACGTGATGACTTTAACTTTTCTATTGTCAACTTCCCTTTCTTATGCAGCAATATACCTTCATCACCTGCATACGGAGTATAGATATCTCACATGATTCGATGTGCAAGGAATGCTCTACGTATGAACAATTTCTAAAATGAGGTAAATTATTGACAAGCAAGTTGATGAAACAAGAATATCAGCAGTCTCGTTTAAAGTCATCCTTTCGTAAGTTCTATGGTCGATACAATATATGACCTTGTCAGCATATACAGTTTATCTTTGAGTCAAATGCTGACTGACGTTTTTCATACAAATTGTTAGTCCATTGTTTATACACTGAATTGACGACGGATTTTTTCCATGATTTCCCGATCATGACAAGGAGCACACGACGGGTGTGACCGGTCGGCAGGGGATACTCACTCCTCCATGGCACCTGATCCCACCTCTGATGATTCTGGGGTCCGTGTTTGCTCTGCTCTAATTTTGTACTGTTTTATGGACTTTGAGATTGAGCACTGTTCGTTATCTCCATATCCTTCTTGTAAGCAAGAAAATGAAATATAAAAATAGTAGTGTTGGCAACGAGTACCCGGTTAACCGGTTAACCGTCGAACGATGCGAGTATCGGTTAGTAAAACTGCTATCCGGTTACTCGCATAAAAAAAATTACATAGTAAATGCATATAAAATGATTGTTTTCTAGTTTATAAATGTATATACTTACACATTTCCCTAAATTTAGATACCGTTAGACTTTTTGATTAGTTTTCACAGTTTATATAGTTAATAGCTTTGATTGCTTGGGGGTATACAACTTTTGAAGGCCTGAGTTATGATTACCTCATTTGATAATTGAACTTAACGAGATGCCGCCTCAGACAAATTAAGCTTGGATTGTAACTGTAAGAAAGAACAGTTGATTCAAAATCTTAACGAAAATTAACTAATAACTAGTGCTAATTGTAACGGGGACCGTTACAGATGTTCCCCAAACGCTCCCCAACTCCCTTTTGGTGCCATATTCCCTGTAATCTCTATTAAATAAGAAATACTTAATGGATTTAAACTTATCAAGGTCTTCCCAGAAGAATACAAAATATATTTAAATTTAAGCATTGTACGCGTGTTCATGTGCGTAACGGCCATATTATCTTGTCTACAATATCTATATATTTTAATATACTTGATATCAAAAATGTTATCCAAAAGTATTAAAAAATACACTCATTCGAGTGTATTTTTAATTTTACTTTTCACGTGCACGCATGCAAGCAAGTGCATGATGAATACACCTTCTTGTAGGAGTCCCTTATATTTATCTATGTTAAATCTCCTGTTTGGTTAAAAAACAAGGGAGTTATAGCCATTTGAAGTTTCAGCCAATCAGATTGCAGCACACATGCATGCGCGTGATTTCATGAATTTTTTATCTTAATCGTATTGAAGGATATCTTAATGAATGACTATATTTAAAATTCCAAACATTTCGTCAAAAAACAAAATAAATATAGCCATTTAAAGTTTCATAATCAGATTGCAGCACACGTGCATGCGCGTGATTTCATGATTTTCTTTCTATATCGTATTGTAGGATATCCTACTGCATGACTATGTTTTAAATCTCAAAGCATTTCGTCAAAAAACAAAGGAGATATAGCCATTTAAAGTTTCAGCCAATCAGGTTGCAGCACGCACGCATGCGCAATGAAAATTTTTATATATCATACTGTATCTTCATAATTTAAGACTTTGTTCAAAATTTCAAAAGATTATGACAAGAAACATGAAAAATATTGAGACTTTAGTTTCAGCCAATCAGAGCAAAGCGCACGTGCATGCGCGTGAGATCTTGCTATTTTGACCATGTCATCATGTCTATACTACTAATATATCCTTATATTTTGAGTTTCAAAGCATTTCATCAAGAAATAGAAAAGTTGCGGCTATATCTATTATATTAGTCATTTCACGTGTTGCACGTGCGCGCTCTTGCAAGCACGTGCGCGAGGAACATGTCATTATGCATATACAACTAATATATACTTATATTATGAGTTTCAACGCATATAGTCAAAAAATAGAAAAGTTACGGCTATATCTGTTATAATGGTCATTTCACGTGTTGCACGTGCACGCTCTTGCAAGCACGTGCGCGGAAAATGACCTTGATTCCGCAAATCTACATTACATGTCTACTAACCCTAAAAAGGTTTTACCTACTTCAGATGAACAGTTTACAAGATCACTCGCGGACAAAAAAGTACCCAGGAAGAAGAAGAAAAATAATAATAACTAAAAGTTTATTGCAAGCAATAGCATATGTCGCCCCGTATTAGACAAGACTTTCATTTTTATCATCACTGAAACAAAAGTCCATTAAATAAGTTTGAACAACCATCAAGTTGTATCAGTCCTTTCCATTGGAAACGGAAGACCTTAATTCGGTACATCCCATTTTATTTTTAGAATCGGTAGGAGAAGAAAGTAGTGCAGGAAAATTACAAGTTCCTCAATTTGCAGACTTGCATAAAAGAAATATGGCAGATGTAGTGAACTGAGCCTCATACTTGTTAATTGGCAGTATCTTTCCTATCATAAAAGCTTGGGAAATGTAATTTATGAAGAAGATCAGCCGAATTATTTTGTGTATTGTAACGCCAGTGAGAACTCTGAAATTTCCCTCTTTCACTTTCATTTTAGAGGTTCTACCGAAAAACGAATCTGACATGCCACCATCAATTCGAGCATTTCTGCATTGCAGAGAGCTGATGTGTGTTATGAGATGATAAATCATGTGTAAACTTTCTCAGTTTAGCGGAATCATGAACATTTTCGGCGAGATGAATGTTTTGTATACAGTGGTGATCAAGGCTTTGCGAACCATCAGGAGCGGATCAAAATATTTATGAATGAATAAAAACTATGGAAATGACGTACCAATTTTTTAATTTATACTTGCACTATCTAATGAAATGAATAATATACAAGTGATAGATATACAAGAAAACGCGAAATGATAATAAATGCAGCTGACAATCGTTATTTTTTTTATATAGATAAAATAAAATATTTATAAATTCAAGAGACAAAACAGAAGGAGAACGACTGATGGCAAAATATCACATGACAGGAACTGAATTTTATGAATGAAGATTTTAAAAAGTTACTTGTAAGTTGTATATGTTATATCTGTGTATTCTACTTGGCTGTGTGCTTAAAAAAAGGGGGGGGGGGGTCGTCTTGAACATAGTAAATAGCCATAACGTTTGAACGGTAAGTACTAGGGCTTTCGTATTTCAAATATGTAATCCTTGTGAAAAGAACTTTTATTGGATACGACGAACTTTGACCCTTTGACCTAGACCTTGGAGAACACGTGTACATCTGAATCTTTTTTTCTGTTTCGTTTCTATGGCAACCGTGAGCGACTCATTACAATTATTTTGAAAGTAGAAATCACTTTGACACATTGCAAGGAATAAACATTAAAAGTTTCAAAACGATTGCCTGAGTAGTTATTGAGAAAATCGAAATTAAAGAATTTGAACTTTCACCTGGTTTCTATGGCAATAATCGATTATATGAAAATTTTAAATACGAGTTGCAGAACTACAGATACTAAACATTAAAATAAGAAAAGTTTCATGACGAACGTTTAAGGGACCAGAGAGAACACTCTCGGACAAAATTTGTCGCTTTTTACAGGTTTCCATGGCAACGGTAGACATATTGGAACTGAACGACCTCACTGCACAACTACAACCAGTGATCGTCCTTTGAGGAAAGTTTCAGGAAGATTGTCCCAGCCATCTCCGAGAAACAGCCTGGATAAAAAAAACATGCGTACAATATCAATATGTCGTCCCCGACTTCGTTCGGGGCGACATAATAAAAAACAGAGTAAAAACAATATGTTCCCAAACTTCGTTTGGGGAACATAATTACGGAGTATGTAATTATTATTCTCCTTGATAGCGACATTTCGGGGGCTGAAAAGGAAAGCATCAGGAAAGCAATTAGTGAGACGGTGATTGAGGATGTTTTTATTTGTCTTCTTCGTGTGTCAAATTTCTTATTTTCTTTAATCTAAAATCTAAATTCGTTCACAATATCGCATGTGTGTATTGTAAATATAATGTCCAAATACAGTATATTTGTGAATTACTACTAACGATAAGTAAAGCATAAGATGAATAAAAGATGTGGATACTTTTACTAAAAATCATCCGAGTAACCGGGTACTCGATCGGAAGATGAAGCGAGTAACCGGTTACTAAAAATCGTCCGATTTGCCAACACTAAAAAATAGTAATTATTCTAGATTCTGAATGTTCTTGTAATTTACACTGCATGCCCCTTTTTACATGGTTGTGTTTTTATTTCAATTAACTTTTAGCATGCATCATGATAAATATACTCACCGTCAATAGAAATACAACACCCTAATTTTAGGGCGAAAATTATATACTGGTTATAACTATGACTGATGATTCGTTACATAGTGTATATTTGCATCTGCAGCTCTTTTTTCTTTATTTTGAGAATTTCCAACATTAGCAATGAACATCAATCATTTTGAGGAAATATAGACATCACATCCGGTAAAAAAGTAGAATTTTTTCCCTCTGGATTTTAGTACA